TTTGTATTGTTAGTTAATTATGATTACAGTATATAAAATATTTTATTTCTACAGAGCAAGAAAACTCTTGTTTGGTCTCCTCCTCTGCTGCTGAGGATAGTGAAATCAAGGCGTCTATGTCTGGCTGTTTAGCATGCTCCAGTTAGCCCCTGCTGGTAGACACCGGAAGCATTTATAGAAGCAAGTGCTATAGCTAATAGGATTTCCTTTCACGACTATGTGGAGTGGTCAACCGCAAACCCTGCGACTGTCTGTTTATCTATCCCCCAGAGTGCCTGTGTTCAGTCTCCAGCCACAGCAGCATAATCCTCCTGATAGTCATTGATTGTCTTCCATCCATACAGTGAATTACAAGTGATCTTGGAGTAATTGAAATGGCAGGTGATTGTGTTCTAGAAACCTGCAGCAAATTAGCCACACAGGACACTCAGCTTCCCCTAAGACACCATTGACTTTAGGGAATTGAATTATAGATTTCATTATTTTTCTTTCCGTTTTGCTCTTTCTCTAGAGGAGACCAGGATAGTTGTCATATGTTAAAATTAAAATGGAAAAAAAAAACTGATAAAACCTAATACAAAATAATTCTAAATACTAATTGAATATATATCATTCTAAAAGAACACTGGTGTTAAATTAACTGCATATTTTTTTTCCATTCCAAGGGAATAACGGTCCATTTTCTAAAGGGATAGATCACCCAGAAATGAAAATTGTCACCATTTACTCACTCTTAAGTTGTCAATCAATTGACGGTAGCCATTACCTTCCATAGCATGGAAAAATACTATGGAAGTCAATGGCTACCTTCAAATGTTTGGTTAGTTACCAACATTCTTCAAAATATCTGGGGGGTGTGTAAATTATGTAAATGAGTAAATGAAATCAGAATTTTAATTTTTTGGTGAACTATCCCTTAAAGGTATGTTTATACAGAAATTGAATTCACCTAATAAACATGGAGTGTGACAACTAGCCCCGGTCTCTCCTATATCTATCTCACATTCTGCCTCGCCTGTTGTCTTATGATCTTTCGAGATGTGCGATGTTGTGTTTTTATGACTGAGTGCTGAAAAGCCAACCTGCTGACTGGCACAAAGATGCATGGACTCCCCATGGCCAAGCGGCACAGAAATGAACAGCTCTCGCTCTCAGCGGCCACTTAAAGTAATTGAAAGCAGCCCTGCATAAGTACACAAAGTCTTTGCTTTCAGAGAATCAAGCTCATCAAGTCAGAAACCTGCATCATTGTTGAGCAGCTACAAACAGTACTGTAGGTCATGGTGGTGTTGCTGAAACAGATGAAGGTGCCCGGTTTCCTCAGAACGGATCATTACAGGTTCATTCTGTTCTGACATTAAAACATTATTGATGTGTCTATGCAGTAACTCTATGGAAGTCGATAATGATTCTGTCCTTTCTGCACTGTCATAGTGTGCGAGTCTCCAGAGCTCACATAACGTCTTAATGGAAAATTGCTTCCAAATATTTTTAACATCAAATAATTGCTAATAATAAGAAGACTGTAATAATTTTTAGATTGAAATCGGCTATACTTTTAAAATACATTTTATTTTATTCATTTTTTTGCCTTTTTTATCATTTTGTCCAAACATATTTAAAGTTTGGCTCCGATTTTGTGTTTTTCTGCCAAGTATATAATGAATGTCAGGCTCAATGCACACATCTGTGTTTCACTGCTGCAGTATAAATTTTAAATAAAACAAATGATTATTCACAAAAACATCATTATAAAGTTAAAAGAGAGGTCAATGATTTTTATGGTGTCTTTTATTCTTGTATTTTATACAAGATGTGTTCCCACTCCTGTTCTGTCCTGTTCCTTTTTTTTTAATACGATGCCGTTTTAGTGCCACGTAAAAAAAAATTAAGTAATATTACGAGATTAAAGTCATAATATTTTTAGAATAAAATCTAAATTACAAGAATAAAGTCATAGCCATATGAGATTAAAGTCATAATATTTTGAGAATAAAGGCATAGCATTATAAGATTAAAGGTGCACTAAGCGATTTTTGCCAAACGATGTTGATATTTCAAAGCACCAAAACAAACACGCCCATACCCCAACAGGACCTCACCCCTATTTTGATAACTCCGCCCCACACACAACCCTGGCAGCGACGATGGCGGAATCTGCTAAGTCTGCCAGCTGCAGCACATTCAAGCAAAAGTCAACACAGAAAAGTTTTGTGAAAAAGCAAAATCAACGTAACTCACCTATCAAGAAGAATCAAAGCAACCTCGCCGTCCGATTCCCTTCCGCTCCTTGGTTTCTCTCCACCGCTGGAAAGCTGCTCCAATATTTACGTCCCTATCATTACTAGACACGCCCCTTACTGCTGATTGGCTGTGAGTTTGTTTTGGGACTCGGTCCGACACAGTGGTCAAAAGCGTTTTTCAAAAATCGCTTAGTGCACCTTTAAAGTCGTAGTATGAGAATAAAGTAAAACAAACAAAGTTGTAGTAATACGAGATTAAAGTAATTTAATATTTCATGAAGTATATTTCATGAATAACGTTAACTAATGTGAAAATTCCACCATGTACTCCACAAAAAACATCTGTGGCATCCAACCTTTCATTTCCTTTCATTTCAAAAACAGCAATAAAACGTTCTAAAGGTTGAAGTGGGCTCCAACTCGTTAACTTAAGTTATATTGTTGTCTTTTCTGAGGTAAATAACTTTAAGTAATTATTCACAAGCTGTTTTATTCACGGTATAATAAACGATTGGAAATAATATTTCAAGTTTTCAAACGTGAAGGAACATCAGATGGCATGAAAAAAAAAACTGTGTAATTTAATGAAACGTCTCATTGTAATCAAAAAAGATGATTCACATGACGATTAAACTGAGGCGAATACAGCGATCTGTCACGCCATATTAAAGAGCGTGAAAAACACAATATTGTTAGACATATTGTTTATATTTCGCTATAAAACTGACAGAATTTGAAAGCTAAGACTTTGTTTATATTAAAAGTACCAAAAGCGCAAAGCTTACTGCTATTATTGGGTGGCTGGCGCACTACAAATAATGAATGCATTCGAAGACGTGAAATATTATTTCCTAGCATACTGTCACTGCAAGTATATGACACATGGTATGATTTCTGCTAATAATGCCACATATATTCAAATCAGTTGCCAGGCCACCGGAATTTCTCCTGGTGCTCCAAATCCGGGCCATTTGCATGTGCAATATAGGCTATACTCTCTCTCTCTCTCTCTCTCTCTCTATATATATATATATTCTCTATAATATTATAACTTTAATTCTCGTAATTTTGACTTTATTCTCAAAATATTTCAACTTTATTCTTGAAATCTTGTTATTATAATTTTTTTATTATTTACATGGCACTAAAACTCTGTTGTAAAAAAACAAAACAATACTTTATATTTACATAAACTAATCATTTTGATTAGCTTTGCCTGGCAAGAATACTTGAACAGATATTTTCTTTTTCTTTTCTTTTCTTTTCTTTATTTTTTATATTTTATTTCAGTTCAATGTAATTTTTTGTTCTATTTTCTTTGTTTATTTTGTTTTATTTTTATTTATTTGTTCTGATCCTTTTTATTTTATTTTTTATTTTGTGTGTTTCTTTTCTTTTCTTTTCTTTTCTTTTCTTTTCTTTTCTTTATTTTTTATATTTTATTTCAGTTCAATGTAATTTTTTGTTCTATTTTCTTTGTTTATTTTATTTTATTTTTTTTTATGTTCTGATCCTTTTTATTTTATTTTTTATTTTGTGTGTGTGTGTGTGTGTACCTTTGTGTTTTGTGTTTCAAAACATTTGATGACTCTATAAATATGTTTAACATCCTTTTAAAAGACCTGTTCAAATACTCAAAAGGCTGCATTAACCTCAGTCACATGGTCTATATATGCAAATCATCTCCCCTTACAAACGACAGGTGCTCCGACCACAAAACAGACACTAATATCCCTGCTTGTTATGTGTCCCGCACTGAATTTGGACACCCAGTAACAGCCAGAAGAATAGACGAGTAACTCACACCTGTTGCGGCACTGACAACCGCATAACAAATTGGTTCATTTTGTGAGTCAAGAGGACGTGGTTTGTTTGTGAAAGGGACGTGTCTCCTGCGTCTCATGAGACCGCTCCCACACGCTCTGTCTTTCAACCAGAGCGTCATCTCATCTTTCCCATATAATGAAGAGGGAAAAATACAATGTTGTTCTTCACATTGTGGCACACCAGATGTTATTTTTTTCCCTTTAATTTTCACCCAGGGCAGAGAAAATGATAAACAGACTCACATGTGCGCACACACACACACCAGTGGTGAGGAGGGGCGAATCGGATTGCTCGTCACATCCACGTTCTCCATGGATCCCAGTGGTTTTGATCTGATTAGTGTGACTGGGCTTTATGTTTACTGTCAATCAAAATGCTCACCAAACTCAAGGTCGCAGTGTCCTTCGGCAGATCCAGCAGTGGAGAGCAATGCATTTCCGTTCAAATTAATTTCGCTCCACGGTGATGAAGTGATGACAGAGCACTTCATTGATTTTTTTTTTTTTCAAATGCATTGCTGCAGTATTTTAGTATTGTTTATTTATTAGTATTGTTTTAAGATTTTGAATTAATTTTTATTTTATTTTGTTTTCATTTGATTTTATTTTTTGTAATTTCATGTGCTTTTGTCATTTGTATTCATTTTTTTTTATTTAGGTTTTAATTTTTAAATTTTTAGTTGTCACTTTATTGAATTTTTAGTCATTTTATGTACTTTTCTGTTTTTAATAAGATTGTTTTTTTTTTAAATGTCTAAAATTTTGATTTCAGTTTTTCTCATTTTAATTAGTTTTTCATCTAATATTTATATTTAATTTTATTTAAGCTGTAATATTTACGTATATTAATAATAGCTTAAAATTAACAAAATTATTTTAATTGTTTGTTTTAATTTGCTTAATGATAACAACATTGTGTTTGTTTCCACAGTTGTTTCGAGGATGATGAACCACCCTGCATGGAGGAGATTGAATATTCATCCTGCAGTGACCCATTTGGTGCCAACGAACTGGACACAGAGGTGAACGGTAACACATCCAGTGAGGAAGAGGATGAAGAAGATGCAGATATCTGTAGGAACGGGAGGCGGCGTAATGACAGGAAGTCCCATCTCGTTCCTCACTACTTGAAACAGGACGCCCTGGAGACTCTGACAATCGAGGGTGGACAGTGTAACGGCATTGACATCAGTAATGGCTACTTATATTAGGCCTCTTTTGTTTGTCTTTTCTGTTAAACCAAAACATTTAGTATTTAGTCCAAGAAACAAAATAAGACATGCACACCTGCAGAACATGTACTAGTCCCACCTGTGCTCCCTGATATAAACTATTTGAATATGTATTTCCTGCATAAAAGTGCACTTGAAGAGTAATTGACTGTTGCATAATCCTAGTGGCGTGATGAGCTCATGCTTTGGTCTATGCAGTGGGTTGTGGGTTGGTTTACGAATCACTCTTACTTTAAACTAGAGGCTAATAGCTTGCTGACAAAAATACTCTGCTGTATAACTGGTCTTCCACTGAAACTCGAAAGTAAACACTGGATATTGTAAGATAGCACTGCATATAAAGTTTACCTTTAATAATATGTATTTATTATCTTAGATTGTGAAAATCAGTAATCATGTATGTTTTTGTGGTTATTAGTTCCAAAGTGATGCATGTATGTGCGTGTATACAAAGTTACTGTATCACTTAGTTTCATATATATATATATATATATATAAGTCATATTCAAAGCACTGAAACAGTATAAAGAGACACCAAATTAAATTCAAAGTAAAATACTGTCAAATCTTCCCATCTTATCCAATTTAAGCTGACATTGGGGTTTCGGTGAAGAAATTTGTTTTACAAAAGCCAGCCTTTGAGCCAGATTTCATCCAAATTCTCCCCAGAATGTTTTGTATAATGAGTTCCGTCATGTCAGCTCAATTGGATCCACACAACCTTTGGTTTGGACCGAAGCTACAAATGCTAACTCATGTCAGTCCATGTTCAAATTCAGGAGCCGACAGAAGCCTGCAATTAGATACTGACACTTTTAGTTCAAAGGGAATTGTGCCATTGCAGAGTAAATTTGCAGTTTCATCTTCGAAAGAAGAAGGCAGAAGTTTGATAATCAACAATATTATTGTATTTCCATAAATGTTTGTTTGTTTTATGAATATAGCCATGCTATGAATATAATCATGGCTAAAGGGTGTTGTTAAGTGCAACATGCAGCATCGGCCTGCAATCCTTTCAGCCAAGACTGTATTACTAATATATCACAACCCTGAGTATCCTATAGCTGCAAGCAGAATCAATTAAATCTGTGTGTGGGTGTGTACATTGTATTACAGTATATACACATTATTGTATTTAGCTACAAAATATTAAGAAATTATTACAATAAGAAACATTCTTTCAGATGAATTAATGTTGTTGTATGTTGTATATATATTTATGAGCAATATCGCGTGAGTAGCAGTGCGATATGCCTGTATATCAGCTCGGCTAATCACAGCGTGCGATATATAGCCATATCACACTGCTACGAGTGCGATATTGTGCTTATACAACAGTTTGACGGCACGAGTGTGTAAATATATAAGAAATAACAACAGAGTGTCCCTCCTTAGAAAACCCTCCTTTTGCAGAACTACTTCCTTCCGCCACGGTTTGACAGTTTCACAGCTGAGCCCAAGCCTCCGTTACTAATTAGAAACCGTCATTTTACAACTAGTAACGAAGGAATGAGTTGCTTCATTAAAAGTAGTAACGAGTTGTTTCATGAAAAGCTTATTGTATTACTGTAGTAAAAGCTCATTGTAGAATATTATGAGAGAGAGCTGGACTGAGGAGTGTGATTACCTGCATCTGATACAACATTCATTCTTTAGCTCAATCTCATATTCACAATAAAACAAGAGTTTGAATGTCTGCTGAGGAAAGCGATATCTTTGTCGTACTGTCCTTTCATCTGTTAAGGGTGATTTCTAATGACAGCGCTGCTCAGTGCATCTTACAATGTGTTGTTGAAAGTAAAAATAACTTCCTTGTTTACAGCCCTGTTTCAGTCTCTTTCAATATAAAAGTCTTTATGCTGACTCATTCATAAAAACAGTATATTGTCACCATCTAATGGCGGGACAATATAACTAAAATCATCACGAACACACACACACACCGTTTCTCAATACTAAATATAATTAAATATTACTATTATTTATAAAAAAATATTTATTGAATTAAAAATATTCAACAAACAATAACCATCATAAAAGTGGCTAGGCAATTCAGTCAAAAGTACAGGCAGCGCTCTGATACCGCTTTAGTTATATAAAATATAACGTGATGAGATTTTGCTTTCAACCTAAACTATTTGCTCTGAAACAAATAATAGATTGAGACCAAAGACTGCCTGTTAGATTTACCCAAAATGAATTATATCTCATGTTTAACCACTATAGAGACATCAGAGCCAGCGACAAAATCCAGAGGATCTGGCCGAGGTGAGGCTGCTCTCGGTGGGTTCATGAGCGCTAAACGGCCGCTGACGCCCTGGAACTCATATCTCCGAAAGCATCGAAGCTAATTTTAAAATAGACGTTATCTTTATTAACAAACCGCATATTTGAAGTCTAAAAAAGTACATTCTTGCCTAAAAAAACTCTTAAAACTACATCCCATGACAAAAACAGTATTATTTTTAAAATAATAGTGGATTTGGGCGACAGGCATGACAATCGCTGTGTGTCTGAAAGAACAAAATGATGGCATTAATGAGAAGTCTAATTAAACAGTAAGCAATACACACACTTATATATCACCACTTTTTCATGTTAAAATCAAACTTCAGATGGCCTGAAAACATGATCTGTGTGTTTTTTTTTTGTGAGAAATCAGCTTGTTTAAATCTCCGCATCTGTGACCAGTGTTTACCGAGCTCTGATGACTAATGTTCCAAAAATAAGTATATTATTAAAAAGAACAGCTGAACTTCAGTTCATAAATAAAATATATAATTGCTTAAATAAAATAAAATAATAGGATATTGTTTAAATTGTTACTGCCTTGAGTTGTTATTTTGGAATAAATGTAAATGCTTAAAAACACTAAACTGATTAGATTTAGGCCTATACTTGGTTTTAATAGAATAAAAATGTTGATGTAAAAATACAAAATAGATTTTCATTTTGGTAGTGTAAGTAATGTTTAGTTAACCAAGAAAATGTTACTGGGACATGAATTTACATTTATAAAAAAAAAGAAAAAAAAAAGAGTGAGGACTTTGCCTCATTTCAGAACACCACTGATATTTTTTATTATCAATGTTATAATTTTATAAGAACATAATAGTAAATAAATTATATATTTTCATTATTTTAAGGTATTAAGAAATCATTACTTTGCTAAATTATTACATTTCGAAACAGTATTCTTTCAGCTGAAAGCCTATTCAAATTATTATTATTATTATTATTAAAATAGTGAATGCATTTTATATACACTCACTATTTATTAAGCTACCTTATTAAGAGATTATTACTTTACTAAATTATTAAATTAAGAAAAAGTATTCTTTCAGCTGATAGAATACAAATTATCCAAAAATATATATTATTATTATTATTATTATATAATAAAATAATAGTAAATACGCCATATATTTATACTCATTATTTTATTAAGCTACATAATTAAGAAATTAAGTAAATCATTACTTTAGGAAAAGGTGTTTTTTTTTCAGCTGAAAGCCTACTCAAATTATCTAAAATATGTTGTTGTTTTTGTTATTATTATTATTATTATTATGTAATAATTTCTTAATAATATAGCTTATTAATGCAGTAAGAAAATAGTGAGTGTATGTATAATGTATTTTTATTATAATAAAATAATAATAATAGCATAATATATAGCGTTTTATCAAACAAACACTGCACAGGAGCTAAAACAACCGTAGTGAAGTTTATACACAGAGAAAAATCAGTAAACAGTGCTGCTGCAACAACAGAATAATAACCAGGAAGGGTAAGTGCAGTGTGTTTCTCTGAATAAAGGCAGTATGACTCTATTTTCATTCTCCCTGTGTCATTCGGGGCTCAGTCTAGGGGTAGGTAATGACTTTGCTGTGACCTCCAGCAACCCGCAGCAAACGGCATGCTGTCCTGTCCTGTAATCTCATGCCCATTTACGAAGAGATGGTCTAATTAGATCCTGGCAGGGTGGGCAACTTACCTGAGCAGGGAGAGGTGGGCAGGTCTTCATTGGTATGCTGCAGACACCGAGCACAGCACACACCACTGCATTTCTTAATTGTGTCTCTCTCCAGGTCTGTCTGCAGCTCGGCTCCAGCCACCGCAGACGGAGTGGGGAAACGTTAGCGAGCGCGGCATTACTGTCCCCTCCCCAACAAATGACCCTCCTGGAGCTTTCATGGCTGAAATAAATGAACTTTTCCACGACATTCTAATTTATTGAGATGCACCTGTACATTATCACATACGTTCAGCTAGCAGCTGTTTTTTTTTTGTCTAAATAGCTATAGGGAGCTCCGAACTTACACCGCGCTGCTCCGCACTGCACAGGAAAGGACGGTATGATGTAGGAAAGTTGCCAAAACACTTCGCACATTTCAAAATCTATAAACTCACGACATACAGTATTTTTGTTTTTAAGGTTACACAACGTTGTTGTTTTGGGTTCTTTCTCCTGCTATAGACATTTTTAGGTTTTTAGCTAAACACTTCTGAAGCTCACTAGTTTATTTGATTTGCCTGCATTGAGAATGTAATCGTGGATAGGCTGTGCCAATACATAACACAACAATCGGCATTTCTTAAATGTTGTGAATATTTAGAACACACCTCAAATTACTCTAAACTAGCGTTAAATAGAGTTTTGTGGTGGAAATGTATTTTTAAACATTTCTGGAATATAATGAGTGACTGCTTTGTCTTGCTAATGCTAATTTCATAGCTAGCATCTTAAATACAGTTCAACAAAATTTTTAGATTGAACGTCTGGGCGAAGTATTAAAATAATTCACCTCTTGAAAAAATAAGTGCCCATAGTTGAAGAAAAGTTCAAAAACTTGGAGTAAGTTTTTTTTTTTTTTTTTTTTTTTCTTGCGCAAATCAGCATATTTTAATGATATTAATGCATAATTAATGCATTACTGTTTTTACTGTATTTTTGATCTAATTTAACCTTGGTGAGAATAAGAGACTTCTTTCCAAGAAAAAAAAAAAAATCTTACTAATCCCAATTTTTGAATGATAGTGTAATAGAGAGCTGATGCGAATAGAAGTGGGAACAGGACTGGAAAATGACACAGCTGGAAATGAACGGCTGATAGGTCATGTTTCTGAACACCAAATTACTGTTTTTGACTTGTAAATGTATGAAGTCGTGTGTTGATGTTTGTTGATGACATCTGTTGATGCATGGCCAGGCTCGGTTTTCAAAAAAGTTTTTTGAATTAACAAATTTGCCAGAGTTTTTGCGGTAAAGTTTTTTTTTTTGCTCTGAATTTTACACAGTATGCTATCTAAAGAGATGAAGGAAAGTTTGGTTCCTCATGATACAATCCCCTTCAAGAAGTGTTTCAGGATTGAGTGGTCAGCACAAACCAGATGCTGTCTTGAGTCTACCAAACATGCTTGTCTCCAGCTGAACATAAGAAGTTTACTGTTTAAAATGTGTCATTAAATATGAATATTGCTCATGCAT